TAAATATAGAGTCATAAAAATCTGAGATTGAAAGATCCATGATAAAATCCATAGAAATAAAAGACTATAGTTGTTTTCGAATTGATAATGGTTAGAAAATTCCATAAGATCAATGATGAGGAGTTTTTGACTTTGAACAAATGTCACATGAGTGAACAAAGTCTTTTACTACCTTCTACATTTGTAGCCATCAAAAATCTCTAGATATAAGTTCTAAAGACTTATTGTATCCAAAATGTCCAATTTTTGAAAAGTCATGATGTGCTTGAAGAACATGTTAACATGCTTCTTTTTGTAGAATATATAGGCATCTTTTGAAATATAGTAGGTTGTTTTTGAACTCAAACTTAGAAGCATCATGAGACTTATAAGAAGGATTCTTGATATCATAAACAAGAAGATCAGAGGGCATACTTGATTGAATTTTTTTTATAAGAGTTGAATCAACAATCAATATTGATTTTATCACTCAAAGTTAAAAATGCTTTGGCTTCAAGAGAATTATTCTTTATTGATCAAAAGATACATCTTTTTCTTTTGGTGTAAGATAAAAACATCTAAAAAGGGTGTTTGACAAACCTTATTATTTTTTGGATCAATAAGTGATCTTAAAATCAAATCTTGATAAAGACATGCTCCAATAGGCTTGGCAATGATTCAAAACATGTCTTGATATAAAGTATTTAAAATTCTTGTAGTTGGTATAAACAATGATTAGATTTGAAGTGCCATTAAATTATAAAGACATTAAAGCATACTTACACAACTCCCAAGTTAAAATTCAAAAAATTAATTGTTACATCTTACAACAAAAATAATTTTTTGGCACAATATTTGAGAATTAAATAAGTTTAATATTATTTTTTTTACTTTATATTATAATCAATAGAAAAATTAATTCATAAAGGAAATATTATCACACTTCATAATACTTGCAAGTTTTTGAAATTATAAAGCATATAATAATACTATGTAATTGTTTTGATATGAAATATAATTTTTAAAAATTTAATATATATTATATTATTTGTTCTATTTATAGATCTAAATTCTATAAAAAAAAAGCCTTAAATTTATCAAATACTAAATCAAGTCATTCAAAAAAAGATAAAAATTAAGATAAAATTAAATTTAAAAGTAATATTTTTATTTAACTTAACTTGTACTCTTAGAATTGGATAATTTTGAAGTTGAAGCTCATTCACCAATTATATTTGATTGATAAATCATCAAAACTTTAATAATATATTATCAAACTACTCAAGTAATACAAGTCTTGATTCTTTAGTACTTATGTTGATGTTTATTTATTTATTTATTTATTCTTCTTAATAAAATATAAACATATAAGAAATTATAAATTATCTTATTATAGTAAAGCTTCTTAAAATCAAAAGGTGTAATAGTTAGAATATAGGAATAAATATTTGGTAAATAATTATAGGTAATAATTATAGCTAACAAATATTTGTAGGTAATTAACATATTTGGCAAAATTTTGAATCTATTAATTACCTACAAATATTTATAATTCAAATCTATGTCAATAAATCCTTTAAGAAACATTACCATAAGATATCATCAAATTTATATATTTTACTTACTTCAATTTAACTCCTCTTAACTTAATAATTATTAATATTAATATATATCTCTATAACATCACTACTATAAGGGTGTTGGATAGAGGTAGAATTAGAGGACATAAGTACCTTTGGCAATAAACCAAGAAATACCCATCTTCCACAATCTTCGTCCCTAGGCAATTTCAATGTCCAATTGTACTTAGGTTTTTATATTCCTTATACTTTGTTTGCTTGTGGTTCTTATTGTCACTACCCTTGCTGATGTTAAAGTCCTACATATACTATAATGCAAGTTTTTTACCAACTTTGTACCAGGAAATTTTTTCAATCTTATCTTTACTAGTTGTAGCAAGGATTAGTATCTCTTATTTAAACAAAGAGTATCAATTGAAGAAGCTAGCATAGACATTCCATGTTACAATATATTTTCCATCAAGAAAATCATTGATGATAGTTTATAAGAGCCTATATTAAGGTATAGCAACAAAAGTGAAGGATTGTCTACTATGGGATCTTCTATAAATGGATTATCTAGTCTTTAGTATAAATATAATTCAAATATTTGAAGTAAAGATACATGGAAAAAGTTAAGATCTTATTATTATTTTGGTTCAAATTAAAATAACAAATTTAAAAAATATATAAATTCTTTGTAATAGATCCTACAACTATATCATCATCAATGTCATAAAAATAAATAACATAACATAACATAATAGAATCAAATAAAAAATAATAGATATTTTAGAGCTCTTTCATCTTCTTTAAATTTTAAATTTATATGATGTCTTTTAATTAAACTATTGGAAATTACTTCCCTTCTCAATTAAATCTTCTTATGAATTTTAATAATTTTTAAGATTTATATTATTTATCATATTATGTATTTTTTATCAAATTTTATATAAGACTATTTTTAATTATATATATATATATATATATATATATATATACTTACAATGTACAAACTTACCATAAAGAATTTGGATCATTGAAAGAAGATATTGAAGATTGAATTACTAATGACTTGTTTTAGCAAGTGTATTGCTATAGCTAAAGAGGTGATTCAAAGTAGTTTTCTTCACCAATCTTATCTCTTCTTAGCAACTTGTTGCAATAGCTTTCATATATAGTATTTTTCAATGTTGGTATAGCTTTACATAATTTTCTTCTATTGAATTTAAGCAATGAATTCTAGATAGGCTCAAGTATTGTGATCTTATTAATTTTGATTGTTATCATTAAATAAATCTTTAAGAAAAAAACTTTCTTTTTGAAAATATTTTTAGATAATGATAGTGAGGTTGAATTAAAAAATTATGAAATTTTTATAGCCATTTTATGGATTAAGACAAGATAAGTAAAATTTTTATTTGTTTTGTTAATTATATGATATGTTAAATCAAATCTACTAGAGTATTAAGGAAAAAAATCCAAATTATTGTTATTTATTGAGATCTAAAATAGTTTTTATTAGCCTCTCACTTCTTATTTTAAATAAATATAAAATCCTAAAAGTCAATAAGATTAGCCACATGTTTGTTTTGAAAAAGAACCATATACATTTCTTGAATCTTTTATAATAAATTTGTTGATGTGCTAGAATTGATAAAATAAGATCAAGTTGTTGTTCTAATATCAAACTAAATATCTTCTAATATATATTTAGCTTTGACTATTACTAAGCAATATTTGATATAATGGTCTATGTTGAAGAAAAATTGGCATTAGACTAGCAAATTCAAATAATCAATAAACAATATTTTTTTTAATTGGTCATTAAGTTATAGGCTTTAAATTCCAGCTATCATCCTAAGTCAAAGTCCATTGCAATACAAAATCATGGTTTAGTAGTATTTTTGTTGTTTAGACCCAACCTTAAGATCTATTCTAACTTAATCACAACCTTGGAGGCCATAGTAAGAAACTTCTTTGAAAAATCTTTTAATACAATCTAGGTCTAGAACTTGAATTATTATTATTATTATTATTATTTTTAATAAAAAATAGCTTGGGAATGAAGATTTGGATCTTGAAATTAAAAAATATATTTTTTTTATTAGATTTATGAAGAGATAGAATTTATACCTGATAAAAGATGTATTTATATAGATGTAATTTAAGCTAAGATTCATGCTAAGAGAAATGGCTTTTCTTTCTAATACTTTAAGTTTGACTTTTTGAGCTTTGAAACTAATATCTTCTAGTTTGTTGCTCCCAATACATATTTATAATATCATAGTATAACTTATTTATGATATTTCTTACAACGTCTTAATTCACTAGGATTTTGTGAGGTTTTGTGCACAAGAACAAATTAGCATAACTTTTAAAAAATCCTAAGAAAAAAGACCCACTTGGAATGAGCTATATTTGATGCTAACATTTAATTTAACAATGCATTGCATAATGAGACTACTGCATATTCCTTGTGTAAGTCCATTGACAAAGTAAAAAAAAGTATACAATAAGACAAAACCTCTATTTGCAAGAATAAAATTTTTAGTTGGCAAACTCCCTCAAATCTATACAACATAAGATTTCATAACATACAAAAAAATAATACATATACATATAAATATAAATAAAAAAATAATACTTTGTAAATTAGAGATTTTATATACTTAAAGGTGTTTCTTAGTGCGGAAATTATAACTGAGCAATACAACTCAGCAATACAACTAGAACCATACTTGATGAAAAACATTGTAGACACAATAGGCTAAAATCCTACACCAACATGCTCTACCAACTCCTATATTTTTCTATTGTTTACATATTATTTTGTTGTATTAAAATTTTCTTATAAACATATATGTGTTTATTTATTTCTTTATTTTTCTTTTACTTTCTTATAGCTATTATATTTATCAAATAATAAATTATGTTTGATGATTAATTAGTATACAATTCAAACATTGAATACATTTTAGACATCAAAGTGAATGAAAATCACATTAGTTCAAATCTCATTTAATTACAATACATATATATATATATATATGTATATATATATATATATACATATATATATATATCTCCAGTATTTCCTTGAAATAAAAAATATTTAAAAATCACATAATTAATATTTTATTTGGAAGTGGGAAATAGTTATTTCAAGAACACCATTTCAACCTCACCCTACAAAGATTTACCTCAACAATTGTTCACTACACTCATGTAATTAGAAACATACAATACTTGATCATTTGCACAGCTTAGCTCTGCATAAACCCTCTTGTATCTTGCAAAACGTTCATGTGAATGATAAATCCTCTTTGTGTTCACAAGAAATACAATATTATATTCTAATGAAATAAGCGGTTGGGTTTGTTTTCGTTAAGGATATCCTCCAAATAACGTAGACAGACAATGCACACATCAATAGTTTAACAGCGACAATGTTGCGCTTACTGACACAAGACTTTGTCCTTGTTGCAAGATACTGCTCTGTTCTGAGTGCGATGGTAACAGTGGATCATGTCGATTTCAGCAAATGACACAAATGATCAGAACAGGAACGGAAATCTTTATCAGACAACGAAAATCCAAGGATAAGAATACCTATCTAGGGAGCATCTCATCAAGATGTTACTCCACTGAAGTACCGGCTCTCTCTGTCAGATGCATATGAAAATGGCTGAATTAACCATGATGCGGCTGTGTACTTGACCATTTCAAGTGCATTGTACACAGCGGGGTAGATACGTCATGCGAACAAGCAATCGTCAAGTCCTAGGTAGAAGGAAATGCTCCTGCAGAACATCGTTCCACTTAAGCTCGGTCACATGCATATTTGACTATCTGGGGAAACATACACAAGCTTTTTATTAGACAGGGTTACCGTAAACGCAATAAGGATTGCACGTGGCTCCGAAATCATCAATTCTTCGATTTTATATGTGTACACGCAGAAAAACTTGAAAGCACTCACTCGCATTTGATTACTGTACAAGACTGAGCAAACCAGCAAGACTAGTAGATCAAGGAGCAATCGGTTGTATCTCAGAGCAGGTGACTTTAGAAGTTTAACGGTGTCCACCGAGCTGAGCCTCCAGTTCTTGCCGTCGTCTATGCACCTCCTGATAAGATTCAGCAACATGGATTAGTTTCGGTCATTGGAATGCGATGCACAAGCATATTGGATTAAAATGTGCATTTTTAAGTTCAAATAACAAAATGTACCTCAAGTTCTTTTTGAGCTTGTTCCTTCCAATTAGCTTTTTGCATGTGGCTGCGTTTAACGGCACCAAGGCAAAACAATCCCTGGCAAAGAACAGGTGGACAGTAAGGCGTCAGTTTTTTTTTAAAAGTATGAACATATATATATATATATATATATGTACAAATATATTACAGAATGGAACAGTAATGAAAAATAATTGGCTTTTTCAAAAGCAATATCACTAAATCAGCAGAAAGGCAATCCCCATAAGCTCGAGACAAGGGAGATGCCGGGTGAAGTCGATTCAGAAGTCATGGAAAGCGAAGATAGCTTACAGAAACAATATAAAGCATTCCACATGCCAAAAGCCACCAGCTGGCCACTTCATGCAACAAACTTTCCGCTTTCGTCTCACCGCTTGCTCGTGCCAACACCTTCGTCAAAGCTGCCACACTGTCCAGTATTAATACGTCAGCCTTGATGTTGATTTGAAAGTAGTCAGTCATACATGTCGATACAAGCATCAAGGATGACATCATAGAAATCTACGATGACATAAGAACCAAAAGTAATGGAACAGTCTAAGGCAGGCTTATCAATGCAGTAATGTGTGGAGCCAGAGATGAAAAGACTTACAGGATCTGGAGAAGGCCGCGACCTACCCAGTAATCTAACACCTGAAAAGAACTCCAGTGTTAGTGAATTTTCATAAAAGCAGTGCCAAACGGTAACTACAATCACATTTTACCCTGAATCGTTCCATAAAATTGAAGTGTAGAGGACTATGGAGATACTTACCTTCCAAAATCTGACGATGGGTCCCCACTCAGTCTCAGCAATGACTACTAGTAGAGCAAAGGCGACTGCGTAGAAGCGTATGATTCCAACAAACACCTACCAAGAGCAAACTTTCAATAAGAAAAGACGTGTAACTAAGAATATTCTTACTTACACAAACTAGAAACAAAAAGCGAAATAAATATACGCTTTCCAGGGGATGATGTAATGCTCGTCATAAAATTAAATAGTTGTAATAATCAATATCTTCTCCCGAAATTTGTAACCATATAGAGACACAGAGCATCTCCTTTGAGCATCAGAGCCATCGAACCCAAGAGATCAACCTTGAGGACATTGTAACAATCAAAATTTAACGACAAAGGACCAAATATTCATCATTCATCTAGACTGCAGCAAATTCCAAAGAGAAAACCTCCTCAAATTGGAAGTGATGAAAGAGAGGGATATGATACGTACACTAACGCGATAATCGAAACCCCGGTAATCGAACGAGCGCAAGAGAGAGATGAGATTCACCACCAAACAGAGCAAAGCGCCCACGGCGGTGACGATGCTCAAAACCGCACAAATGTACAGAAGCGTGTCCTTCTGCTCGCTCGGAGGCGCATCATGGACTATGGGAGGAGATCCCGCGGCCTCCGCTGGCAACAAAGGCGCCTCCAAGTCTGGTTCCTGCGAAGGAGGCCCGTCTTGAGGTCCCTGTCGAGGAGCCTCATGCTCGGCCTCCACCGAGCTCGTCACCCCATCCTTGTGCTCCATCGCCTGCGAAATACCTCAAACGAACTGCGAAAAACCTCCCGAGACTCGATTTCGACGATACGTAGCGATCGAGAGATGAAACCCAGGTCGTGGAATCAGCTGCAACGAGGAGAAAAGGATGAAGACAGTCACCGACTGGCCCAAGAGGAGCGCAAAAAAAACCCAGAGCCGGCGTTCGGTTTTCTCCCTCGGTGTTTGGGCTATAGAGCGGCTCCACGTGTACTTGAGACGTGGATGATGACTCACCACCTTCCAGCTGGACGATGCTTCTACGCTCGCCACGTGGAGGGCAGACAATCCTTGCTTTGCGCTGACATGAACCGGTCTTAAATGAATGTAGGTTACTACTTTTGAACACCGTCAGGAAAGTCGTTTCCGATGAAAAAGTGTTCTGGAATTAATCGTTCGTTCGTAGTAAAATCTCGATGTCTTATCAAGTGTGAATACGTCACGTCGTTCTTGAAGTAAAATTATTTATAACTTAATTCATAACTATATAAATAAAACAAATACTCATGCATAATTAAATGATACATAATACATATTTATATATAGATACACATATATATATATATATATAGAATCAAGTCAAGTTTTTTATTTCATTGATTCAAGAATTTGTATGTGACATATAGAATAAGGTTGTGATGCAAGTTTTTATATTGAGGGTATTGTCAGATAAAACACTTAACAATATCCAAATGCAAACTCAAAGAATCTAAAGGATTTCCAGCCTTTTCAAGTATAATAATAAGATGTGAAATTTACTGTAATTTGATGGTTGGACATGTAATATATATATATATATATATATATTCACATATATACAAGAATATTATAAGAATATTTTTAATATATATAGAGGTATATTCTCAAAATCAAATGTAGAATTTATAAACCTAGTTTGAGACAACATTTATATAATAACATAATCTTAAACTTGTTTGGTTTTCATCATCTTTTCATATTATTCATTATTCGAAATGATACATGTTAACAAAGAAACAATCACCAACTATGTAAAATTATGACTCTTAAGATTTTATCTATTTATTTATTTATTTATTTATTTATTTGTATACATATACCTTCTTTGGTACATATGTCATCAAAATTATGCAAAAATACCTCATGAAAAGTATGCAAAGAATTAATCATTTAAAAAAAAAAAAAAAAAAAAAAAAATCATAACTACATTTATTATACACTTCCTATCTAAAAACTGTTCTCTTTATAATTGGTATAAAAAATATCAAGGAAGTTCGAATAAGTATTTTGTGATTATCATAATAGTCAAAAGATTTTTCAAAATATAATTTAAGAATAAGATATTCTAGCATATAAGTTATTACAAAATCATGCTATTTACGTGATACAGAGAAAAAAATGCATTTCACGTCAATTATTTTTCAAGATTTTTGGTCTTATTTTTGAAGGAAAAATGCATATTTTAGCCAAAAATATGTCTAAAATGACAAGAACATATATGGATATAACTTTATTGAAAGGAAAGTGTTAAAATTTTAATATAACTTGTTAAATGTACTTATAAATTCTTATTGATTTTCAAGAATATAAGCATTCGAAATATTACCAATTATGAAGATACATAATTTTTTTTGTAATAAAATTATTCATTATATTGCAAATAATATGTTTATTGAATATATCAGCATAATGTTTTAAGAAATATTTACATTTTATTTTAAAATAAAATTTCAGTGTCATGAAAAAAAAAATTCAAGTTAATAACGGTTGCTAAAAATGAAAAAAGTTACCAATACACAACCTTTTGAAAATTCAGAAACTACGACTATTTCATAAAAAATATTTTTTTAATTTTTAATTACTGTTAAAGTATTCAAATTTAAACCTTGAAATAATTATAAAAAACTAAAAATGAAAAGAAAAACAAAAACCAAAACATGTCAGGAAACAAAGTATCCATAGCTTTTAAAAAGATGTTCACAAAAGTATATCAATTGTTTTTGAAAAACCTATTCATTTTCTCAAATTAATTTACATCAAAACACTACTTTCAATGTTTTAACCAAAATCCAACAAAAATAGTATAAATTGTGCCCATGTATACCAGCAACTAAAAACATTATTAGAAAAAAAAAAAAAAAAAAAAAAAAAAAAAGACAAAAAGGACAAAAAATATAGAATATTCGAATAAACCATTCCAACTCCACCACACACATGTGATCCTTCTTTTCATCACTCGGAGCGTGCAAGACGCTATTATATTTAAGTGCAAACACCGAAGTGATTACAACACAACTTTGTAGAAGTTGGTCACACTATTTGATTGATACCCAATTATGTGACGTTGGCGTAAAATCCTTCCATTATCACCCAAGTCGAACAAGCTTCTGGCCATTGGGAGAGATGGGTGATGGAGATGCTAGTCTCCATGGCAACAGTGCACATAAAAATAACACCGCAGAACCTTTTTCCAAAAACAGGGTAGTTTTATGTAGAGCCCAGTGGGTTTGAATATAACTACCACAAGACTAAACTAGACACAACGGAACAACCAAGACAGTTGCAGACAGACAGACAGAGAGTGAGAACGAGGGGGTAACGTCTTCTACAAAACTTCGCAGGCTGGTGAAGGGCATGTATGTCCTGCTGAGTCACAAGAGCTTCGTCGACGTTGGCCGCGGCACCGAGCTTCTAGGTCCAGAATCAAGGGAAGATCCCACTCACGCGGTAGCTGGTGGCGATTCTCTCGATGGCTATCAGGTATGCCGCCGTTCGGTAGTTGCAGTTCTGCAGACAAGCATGGGAGTCTGATCAGATCCTGAGTTTGCTGATTCTAGCGTATCAGTCCCTTCGAAACAAACGCAGAGCACAGTGGGTTTGAGCAAGTGTATATGGGTTGAGTGTGTGTGTGTGTGTCTTACCCTCTCTTGAGAGATTCGTTTCACGTTTTCCCAGCTCAGCAGCATCGTCTCCTCCAGTCCAGACCAGACAAAATCCACCTCTCGATTCCTGCGAGTGGTCCAGAGGGAATTGTCCGTTAGCTGGTTGAGGGTTGTTTTGATCGAGTATTCTAGCACGGAGATTATTTTTTCTTGTTTGCAGCCGTGGCATGTAAGAATTGCTTACCCCTTCACTACTTGGCTCCGGACCTCGTGGGAGATCTTGTGGCCGTTACCGAGCTCAGCCTCCAGGGCATTGATGAGCATTCTCTGTCCTTTCTCTTCCATCCGTCGACTCATGCGTCCGAAATGGATGTGGTTCAAGTTCTTCAGCCATTCGAAGTATGAGACTGTCACTCCTCCCTGTAGAAACAGGTACACTTCTTTAATCCAAGGCTTTGATATCGTCATTGTTGATAAGCATTGGAATGGGTACACAATCCTGTAGATGAACGAAAAGGCAGTAATGCATAGATATGTCTCGTACTCCGTTTACATTGCAAGTAAATCTCTACAAAGATTCCCAGCAATCATCATCATTTACTACTATGATCTGTTGATATACAGTAAGCCAGAGGCAACAAGCTTACAGCATTGAGCAATAAATCGGGTAAGATGACAACGCCTTTGCCTTCCAATATCGTCTCTGCCAATGGAGTCACTGGTCCATTTGCAGCCTCTGCCACAATCTTTGCCTGGAATTTGAACATATAAGACGTTTAGGTCGATGGGGAACATTTAGGGTATGTCTTTTGCCACCGTTTCTTACACTATGAAGGAGGAAAAACCATGAAACTGAGAAGCCAACACAATTTAGAGGTCATGATTACCTTGACATTTCCTGCATTTCCAGAGTGGATCTGGGTTTCCAGAGCGGCAGGTATCAACACATCACAGGGAAGCTCTAAGATGCCTGGTGCAAATTTCACCTGGGTAAACAGGGCAGGCAAATGAAATGGTAACTCGTCCATGGAATTCCACGACAACTGAATCGATCTGTTTCAATGAATCCGTGGCTACAAAAGCAAGTCAAAGAAGAAGTTTCATTCTGATACAAGAGAAACACTTACTGTCTTTGCACCAGGAAAACTGGTGATGGTGCCCATCTTTTTGTGGTAGGCCTTTAAGGCAGGAATATCTATCCCATTCTCACACTCGGCCACCAATCCCCCATCCACTTCAGCAATCGCAGTGATCAATCCTCCGGCATCATATATGTACTTGAATACATTAAAAGATATGAGCGTCAGACATCCTTCATCTCCTGCTCTATGATTGAAACTATACTGGCCTTCCTCGATGTAATGGCACTCCTGTGTGTGCTGAATTTAATTGCAGCTAATCGCGCTACGTACCAATGTGAATGTGTAGGATTATGTAAAGCTTACATCAATTGTGTGACGACCCACATTCCCGAAACCCTGCACGATAAAAGTCTTCCCCTTAATTCCAGTCGTCAAGCCCAATTTATCTACCAGAGCCTGCAATCGTGTAAGGGCAGAAGATTAGAGAACCATTACTGTCAAGCAAATTCAATCTTATCCCATTGCTGCTGCAAATATTTACAACTTGTACAAAACAAGTTTAAACCAATCTATCGTTTTTAACCGAAGTGCTCAGCATCATAGTCACAGAAATGAAAATGAATACACCACAGCAAACGCAAGTTTACCTCATCGTCGAGAAAGTCTCGCAAGCAAAAGAAGACCCCTAATCCTGTAGCCTCTTGCCTTCCATCAATTCCTCCCTCCTCCAAAGGTTTTCCAGTCACGCATGCTGCACCATTGATATCGTTTGGCTTGAGGTGTTCATAAGTATCTTTGATCCAAGCCATTTCCTGCGGACCCGTTCCATAATCAGGAGCTGGTACATCCTGCACAGAAAGAGCCCAAATGAAAATGTCAGTGTTCCAAAATATAGACTTGTTCTCAGGCAATTCAGAGATGTGGCGAAGGTATACATGTGGTTCTAATTTTTTCTTTTTTCAGCAATCACTTCAAGCTCCAAGTCCATGTTGAAATCACCATAAAGATATGTTCAGAAACTTCTAATGGCTGACTGTAATTTGAGGTCTCACAATGGAAGGCCCGATGAAGCTCTTCCTCACGAGCTCACTAGTATAACGCCTTATGATTGATTCTTTCTCATTCGCGGAGTACTTCGTAGGGTCTGCAAAACACAAGCGGTCGATGTGAGTTGTTTGTTGATTAGAACTTGTTCACTCGTTTCAAGCACTGAGCAGAGTTCTATTAGTACTTAGAACCAATCATTTCCATGAAAACTCACCTATTTTAATACCACCTTTCGCACCTCCAAAGGGCACGTCAACCACAGCACATTTGAATGTCATTAAAGCTGCGAGTGCCATTGTCTCTTCAGCATCGACGTTCGGAGCCATTCGGATTCCTCCCTTTACTGTAAGATGCCAGGGGTGTTTGATCCATCAGGATTTGCAAGCTAGAACAGTAAACCTGAATCAAGCCAACAGCCTCATGGAAGGAAGATAAAGGTTACAGCTTGAAAACACACCGGGGAGTCGATGGTGTGAGTGCTGTGCACGATAACCTTCGATGAGCTCCACGGTACCATTTGCGCACTTGAGAGGAAATTGCACTTTCAGAATGTTGTTGTAGGCCTGCTCAACGACAATCAAACCATTGACAACCAGAAAGCACGAACTGAACTGCTCAAACCTTCACAGAACTTTGTTTACAACGCTTGCCTCAGAAGATTACAAGCCAGATCCTACCTTGATGTGGGCAAGGATGTCAGGTGTCGCCGAGGCAATCGTTGCGGCTTTATCGAAGTAAATGTCTACGGATTCCAAGAACGTCGGATCACCTGCACAGTACACAGATCACAAGAATAAGTGAATGAATTACTGTAAGCTTTTAAGGTTTATGACTTAAACTGGTTGAATCAGTGATATGTCCGTTTGTTATACAAGAGGTTCGGAACACGTTGGTAGTCGACGCAGCTGACGAAGACCGTGAGATATGTCGCGTACTCCGCAAAGGATGAGGCCCGCCTACGTTGTGATCAAATGTGAGGAAAAAGGATTGCATCTCCTCAATGGAAGGTAGATCAACAAGAAGACGTTGGTTGGGAGGTGCGTGACGAGCACCTTGTTCGACGGCGGTGCCATGTCCAGTGGGTACAGCAATGGTCTTTGCGGCAGTTGTGGTAGTGGCTGAAACTTCGACTGCAGTCGAGAAGCGGCTACTAGAGCCAGCAACTGCGCACAACCGCGCAGATGGCGCCACAATGGAAAGGCCTCCCTTCAGCATGAACATTGCCATTGCAATTGTCGTCTGTAAAAGCTTCAAGAGATCGATTCTCTGTCGAAGGCACCAACCACTAAAACCAATAAGTCAGATCACTCTCGCCAGAAAATGCATTGAATACACTTCTTCAGCACCATACCACTGCAGAAAGGAATGAATGAATCCAGCATTGTTTGGTGCAGGTTTGGCAGTCAGAATCAGTTTTAGAGCGACTACGTAATGCTTTATTAATTCCTCGTCGCCGCATGTTTCAACAAAGGGAAAATATTATCATGGCCAACACGGTTAATAATCGATCATGAAGTATATTCTCTTCGCGTTTCAGTGCAACACACGTACTGTAAAATATTACTCGTATTCTGTCTACAACAGCCAACAGCAATCGACCGCGGTACTAGAGCTCCCCACCCCACACAGTCTAATCGGCCAAAAGCTACCACTGCTGCAACTTCTAAGACCATCCCATCTCGCAGCAATCAACCACGAAATGACACTCAATACCAGGAATTAACAATCCAAACTCCAAGAACAATCTCCACTCTGTGTCTACCTCACCAGCAACACAGTCGTCACGACACACACATCATGCAAGCGATCGAACAGCGGAAGTTCCACCAGCTTGCAGCCGAGATTCGCAACCCACAACTACAACAAGGAAGTTGATTCAAAGACTCAAAAATAGCCGGAATCGAAACTGTGCGGGAGCTACGGCCAGAGATCGAATGCCAGGTGAGACGACTCCAGTGGACGGGATTGTCGATGCTGTCGGATGAAGTCAGGATTTATAAAGAGGTGAAAAGGGATGGGCGATGGGTGGGGGCCGCAATGGAAAGACCACAACAGTAGAGGAAAGCATGAGCTCGAGCCTGCGAAAAACACATGAAAGTATTGCTGCGCAAAATCTAATATGTAACTCAGCCCCCAAAGGAAGCTATTTCAAGAAGGTGCTTTTATGGGTGTGAGCTTTTTTTATCACGCAATAACTGGGATATTGGTTGCATCGAAGAGGAGAGTGCTACGATGCATGCATAGAAAAATCGCGACAGTAGAGAGAAGCATGAGACTCGAGCGTGCGAAGAACATGATAAAATTGCAGCGCAAAATCCCCATCGAGACAAGTCAGAAAGAGAGGGAACGAGGCATGCTTCGAGGAGTATGCTTCCTTGACTGCGTTTGCTTTTTTCATGAAACTCCTTTTTACTTTTACTTTTAAAGTGGGAAGACCCTTCCGGGTGCACAGTTGGCAGCCCATGAGGGGTGAAGAACAAAGCAGGGGCATAGAAGGATGAAAATCGTGGGATGAGGAAGGTGCTGAGGCACCCCGCGCTTTGTCCACGCTGGCAGTCCACGTGGGACCAGACGGGGCGGGATGGGAATCGGATCCGAGCCGGGGTTCTTTGCTGGGAAGCGCGGGTGTGAATAGGCTGAGCTGAACTTGCCACGTCGGCCTTTCAGGAGGGCACGAGCATAAGCCATGCCTGATGTGTCCTTTTTCATTAATTTTGATGGCTTGTGGATGATGTATATTGAAGTAATATCTTATGTAAAAATGACTTTTTTCTACTTGGAATTGATAGTTCTTAGATATATTATATTTTAATATTTCTCAATTGAATCAATACAACAAAAATAAATAAATAACAGAATTATAAGAATAATAATAATATTATTAGTAATTTCAAGACTTTAAAGTTAGGCTACTACATGCATCTGTAATTTAACTCTAACCTGACATTAAATTTTATTATTATAATATATGTTATATGTTATATTTTCTAGGTGAAAATTTCGAAAAAAAATTAAAAGAAAAATCTATCAATTTTGTACAAATATGATTTTTCAAAAATTGTGTTTGCTAAATTTTGGATCATAATCAATATTTTTTTAGAAAGTTGGATCTTATTTTATTTTATTTTTGTTTTTATTAAATGCAGCTAAGATGTCTATTTTAAAAATATATATATTCTAATCAATTTTTTACTTGTGCCTTCATTGACTTGCATCTTCATAACATTCATGTGCCTTGACATGCTTGTTTGACTATCTTGATTTGTTTCAATGTAGTTTGATGGTAATTTTAATATTTTTACTATTTCTTGATATTCTGCATGTAGATATCAATTCTTGTTGATGTGCCAAATTGTGTTTTAACACTACATACCACAATTTCTAATTCTATCTTGGAAAATCATTATTTTCTTAACAATTTCATGTTGTGCCTTTTTAATTAATGATTTTTAAAAGATGTATTTTACCTAATTTTAAAATGTTATATGACTAAAAAAATTGGTTAGTGATTTGGATGGTTTATAAAGATGTATAATTTATCAATTTCAAGTTGTAATTTTTATATTTTAATTAGGAAAAATTAAGACTTTGTGTCTGAGAAAGACAGTTTTTTTGTAAGGTATTTTTGTTACATGCTAAATAATCATATGTTCACAAGTTGTTTGATTGGTCTAATGCAACATGCATTTTTATTTTTTATTCTTTATTAGAACACATTACATTGTGTTTCAATTTTTGGTTTTATTTTATAGTGGCAAGCACAATACCAAGTGCAAAAGCTCTTCTACTGGGCATTACAAAGAGTACAGAAATCTTTTTAATAACTGAAACATTTATTAAGTAAAACTTAAGTATTCTTTCAAATAGTTCCTATGAATTTCATTTAAGAATACATTTTTAGTCTGGCAAAACACAATCTTTTCGTGAGCATGATTGAAATTTCTTATAAATGATTATAAATACAACCGTTGATGTAAAAAAAATTGCATAAAACAATAAATGCAACATTTAAACAAAATGAAATAATACTACATTTGGGACAAAGAGCTCTTAAACTGCCAAAAAACGGAAGGTCACACTTATGTTAAAAATGTAGTGATGGGAATTCAAACCCCCAACGATGATTGATGGATCCTGACGAAGAGTAGGGATATCTTGTTGGGTAAAATAACTAGAATGAAATGAAAAAACTGCATTGCACTAAATAGATCTACAAACTACTTGTGAGATTATACGAATTGTAAAATGTGGCTAAGCGACCTCAATTTCTAGACCATCGTGGTATCCGAAGATTGTGGTACAGTAAATGCCTTGCGCATTATCTCTTGTATCTCTTGATCCGGAATGCATCGATCATGCCTCAGTGTTTACGAATCGGTACAGTAAGAACTATACGAAGATTGAACATATCGGCATGCTGAGCACCAGAAACTAGCAGCAAGCAATGAAAAAGAGCATGGCAATGCATAATCAAGGCTGGAAACATGGTCATTCGGTAAACACGATCACACACTCCTGGAGTCACGTCACATGAGACGCAAACCGTTACGCAGAGAGGAGGGGACTCAGTGGGATACAAAACCATGATGGACTTGATTGCCATTAGTGTGACACAAAATCTCAGAAAGTTCAGGAAGTATCTGTCAAAGATGTCGTTAAGCACGACGACGCTGAAACAGCACAGCAAACGGCCATCCTGCAATTGTTCCCGAGGTTTTTCTCGAGCCGCTAATTACACAATTTGAGTACCTTCACCTAGGGTTGATTTATGTGGTGCGGGTTGCCGGAAAAAATATCTACAGGTCCTAACCCTCGTCCAGAAGAATCCTAGATGTCACGGTAAGTCGAGTAATGCAACGTCCTTCGAAGACAGATAAAAAAGAAATGAAGAAAAAAAGGGGGGGAGCGCAACCTCGAATGAGAACTTCACGAGCCAAGCTTGCGCAGGCGAGGCATTCAGGGTTTCAACGGTCGGAAGGAGCCTTGGCGGTGGCAGGGTGGTTGGACTCCAGCGCCTGGTTGCTCTTCCCAGGGATTTGTTGCACATTGAGGGACCTATAGTAGGTGAATGTGGCCATACCCACAACCACTGCGACACCGGCCATAATGAAAGGATACCGCCCGGCCTTGCTCAGCCCCTGCCCTCCTTGCTGGTGCAGCGTCGACCCTGGGCCTGGGTTTGAACCTGGTGGCTTCCTCGCCCCCTCCAGCCCCAGCTTCTTCAATTCCTCCCCCGACATCTTCGTGGTGTCAAACTTCTTCTCTGCCATCGTCACTGCCCTGCCAAACCCTACCCAATACTACAAAAACAACAACAGCAAAACACACACACACAAACCACTCTCTACAATAACGCCTCAACACACAAGCAAACAGTTTCCGATTCACTCAGACTCAAGCACTAATTCTCAACTCCTCCGCAATTCCGAAGGCAAAAATGGAAGACCGACGGGGCTGTGCAAGCAAATCATATACCTCGACCTCTTACGGATCAAACTTTTACTTCACTTTCCCTGCAGGGCCAGGCAGTGTCTCTCCCTTTCTGGAGCTAGAGAGGCCGCTGATGTGGGTGACGAGCTGCGGCGCCACCATGCGAGCCAAGTGGCAAGAGCGGCGTGCCGCCAAGTGGACATCCGGGGGTGGTGCCAAGTGACAGAGGGGGTTCGTAGTAGTGTTCCTCGGGGAGGAATGGGTGCTTATTGAAAGCTCTTAACTCAGAGTTGATATTTATGTCCAATCTACAAAAATTCTAAAAATGAAGAAGGTGTTTTGTTTGTATTATGAGATTGTTTTAGCAAAATTGCCACATCGATGATGAATGTCGTTTTGCAAATTATTATTTTTATGGAGTGATGTTTTGATATGGGATTTTGTCTTCTGGTTTAGTTGTACTTTTGAGTTTAGGAGATATAAGATTAGGAGGAAGAGAATAATACTAATAATAATAATTGTTCTATATGTGTTTGTAGGTTTCATGAGAAAAATAGGATCTAGAGAATCTTGTGTAAGTTGCAAGGAATGTTTTTAGCATGTGAGTTCCATGTTCAAATTGAGATGTTGGTAGGAAGCAATTTTTCCTCTTTTGCTAATTTATTTTATTACTCTACATTGTTTTGAAATAATATATTTTTACTTGGGCTTAGCACCTTTTTTGCCTTTGGAATATCCTTATTATCCTTGGGCCACCAAGATATGGAAGCACACCAAAGAGTTTTGGATCTATTGAAATTCCTAATTTGGATAAATATCTACTATAGATATTTACTTCTTTTTTTTTTTTTGAAAAAACAAGCATAGGGATAGTTTCTTCAAAGCCACATAAGACAAAAGTGGAAGTTTGACTGAAAAGAATCTTCGTTTTGCAACACCCTCCCATGTCATGGACCCTCACATACACATAATAAAACTTTTCCTCATACTAAAATATTAAAAGATAAAATTACAATAATAAAAATAAAAATAAAAATCTCATAGAATGAATCTAATAAGTTTTTTTAAAGTGAATAGAATAGTTTCATAAAAAATATTTACAAAATTATTTTCAACTCAATACTTAATAAAAATATTCCAAGTCAATGCTCATAAGTCTTTGACTATAAATTTATCCTTTTTTTTTTAATGTCAATAAAAGTAATATTGTATGTATGCTAGGCTGCATGGCACAAGGGGAGGAGGTGTCCACACAAAAAAACAGGAGTGTCCACCTATTGGTTCTCTATTTATATTCTTTTGTCTTTTTAATATATTATCTTGGTTCTTTTTAAATTTATAATAATTATTTTTCCTTTTTGTAGTTATAATGAATATTTATTATTGATATAATAGATATAATTGTGTTTTATATGCATTGATCTTATATCATTTGGTAATAAAATTAGAAGATAAAGACTACATATAAATTACATGCAATATAAATATATTTTTACATATTTTTATAAAGATTTGTTACTAATATTTTATCTGATTATAATTTTTTATTAAAAAGTAATAGATATAGGTGATAGAGAAGAGAATAATCTTTAAGAGTTAAACTAAACAAATTTATGATGTTAAATAGAATATTTTAGAAAAATATAACTATTTTATAAATTTTTTTTATATATATATATATATATATATATATATTTCTTCAATTTTCTTCCACAATTCTTTCTCTCACCTCTATTTCTTTTGTATAATAATTGTATAATTTGAAAAAAAAATGAATTTTTAGAAAAGTCAAATTTGATATTAAGGTTTAATTTAAATTTCTAATATATTTATTGTAATTAATATCTATTGTAATTTAAATTACTAATATATCTATTGTAATATGTTATTATCTTATTTTACAATCTTTTATAGTCTTTCTTCTTTTTCTAAACATCATAATTGTTCATCAAAATAAAAATAGATTAAGAGTATCTTACTTGTAAAACTTTGTAAAATCTTTTTAGACACAAGTTGGATTTACAATTATGCTTTGGTTTTCCATTTTGCTACACAAACTTTATTAAAATTAAAGTTGGATGTAGGCAATTAGTATGGATGTATTTGACAACTTTGACACTTGTCCTGCAATCTTTATGGTCCCAAAGAAGTTTCAATATGATCATGTTGATAGCTAGAATGAATAAAAATAAGATTGAGGTCATCTTCAATCTTGTCAATACTTTTCTTACACTCTAGTGTTGCTTCAAGACTCTTTAATCAATGCTTAATTTGCTTAATGTGCTCAATTTCTTTTTCTAGTATTATTAAAATATTTTTGATCATTTCATGCTAAATGTCTTTCTCTTGTGTCTTGACACAAATCTATTGTTGATAGCGTTCACCTTAACACTGTTCATCACAACGTGAAGAAGTACTACCTTATCCGACAGTCATATGCAAATGTAGAATAATCTTGAACAGAACCTCAACATGATACACATTAAAGCCAAATGTTACATCATGTTCCACCTCTTTGGTTGCTGCACTCACAATAAAATTATAAGGAAACTACACACACCACTTTGCTAGCCCTAGATCGATAACGGAGAATACTGAAAGCAACAAATTCTCTACATCGCATATAACTAGTCACCCTCACGTTACAATATACAAGGTTTGCAGTATCTCAAGTTTGTTGTCGAAGTCGACAAGAATGTTCAGTAAAGCCTGCAAAGATCCAGAGCAAGACGGCTGATTATGGTCACTCTCGTGACCGATCGGAGTTGTGAGGTTTCCACTCAAACATCAATCAGTGAAAAATAATTCATTTTAACCAGCAATCTGTGAATTTCCCTTAGTTGTCCGATCATTAGCACATTCAGTCCGTCCAGATTCAACTGAACATGTCTCAACATGAGGAATACGAAAAAAACACACTGTATTCGACAAGCACAGTGGAATCAAATAACGTTGAAGCCGTGTTTGAAAGCGCAAAACGAATGTTGCAAAATGAACTTAAAATGTGTTCTAATGACACCAGCAATCATTCACAGTTCATATCTAGGATTGATCAGAGACAGAACAACAAATCAATTCATTCACATGAGCTTGAATGCCACAATTAAGCAACATGGTGCTATTTATCCCCCAGATGGAAGAGGTGGAATTTCGTAAGAAAGAGATGAAAATACGAAACGCCAACGAGACAACGAAGTGAAAAATGTATGAAGAGATTTAGAACTAGTATTGCACGTCTAAGGTTGTTGGGGCTGTTGTGCTGATTTTGAAGACGCTGTTGGAAATCTAATCCACTGATTTGAGTGCCAGAGATTGTTCTCGTGCAGAGAAGAGCGATTTCAATGCCTGATGTGAAACCAGGTATTTCTGCCTGCACAAGATGGAATGAGCTCCCCGCTTTGTGTTTTCAATGCTACAAAATGACAACGAAGTGTTGGGTATTTTTGCCGAGTAACGTCGGGATTAGCTGTTGATACGGTCTACTCTGCGGCGAAAGAATGAAAGAAGAAAGTAGGATCGCCCCAAATCGTTCAACCCAGTATTCCTGTCGAGAACTTCTCTTCCTCTGCAACCAACTGCAAGTCCTTCGTCCAGCTTCACATGACTGCCACCGACGCAAGCCTTCTTCCACAGTTGGTTTTCTGCCAGTTATCGGCACCGTTTCCCAATAGTCCACAAATCTTCGTTTCGTGCATGCGCGTCCTGTTTTCTGTTGACCAAGTCTTCGAAGCCTATCAACTTCAGACGAGTTTCTGCTTGTTGAGTAGCACAAGTCAAATAGTTTCCGGATTTTGAACGGACGGGTGGTGTCGTGAAGGTATTCTTTGCTATGCGTGTCCCCTCGTCGCTGTTGAGATTGGGTAATTTTTTGTGGCTGTAACTGAGATGCTTTATTTGGAAAAAACGGTGCTGGGCTTTATCGTAGATTCTTATTCACATTGTTCTCTTCACTTTGATTCAGTATCGTCCGTCTTGTCATCGTAGACGGTGCTAGATCTACAGGTCTCGGGAGTCACTTAGCGATCGTCGTTTCAATCATATTGTGGTAATAGGGAACCTTGTGATTTCAACTACATGGTATCCATCAAAGATGATCCCATTGGTGTGTTGTGAGACGTCAAAGGTCGAAGGGAGCGTGTTTCAGTTCCGCAGGCTTTCTGCAGTGTATTAGATGTTTTGGTCTCGATTGCGTCGTCTGGGATTTTTTGGATTATTTGCCCTTCTGTCCGGAGTGACCCCTGTTACTGGTATGTGTACTTTACATTGGTTTTCTTCATTCTTTTGATCGTGACAGATATCGAATCAATTTCTGACAGCATGGAAGAGGCGAGCGTTTTGAAGGGATAGCAAATTTCAGTTTTTTCACTCCGCCCATCGGCATAGTTGTTACCAACATTTTTGAAGGGGATTACGGGTTGGGATTCAAAATTGAGCAGGAAGTGAGAAAGAGAGCATCGAAGAGCGATGCCGTTCCAATTCCCAGCAGAGGTTTAAGGAATAGGGTTTCAAAGCAAGAAAGTCATTCGACAGTGAGATGGGGTTTGGCCAAAAATTAGCAGAAGCGGAATCTGGAGTTTGTTAGATGGTCGTGAAAGACTCTGGCAAAGTCGTTGAGAAAGTCGGTGTATCCCTGGAATGTTGTTGCAGTGATACATATGCTGGTGCATCATGCCTGGAATTTCCCATGGACCGCGTTTGTCACAACAATTAAGTTCTCAGAGGATTCTCTTTGTCACGACAGCGCTCACCCTCTGTTTGGCTCTCTTCGCTTTCATGACCCAATGGACCGACAGAGATCTAGACGATTCTGCTCAACTTGGAGAGATTGCTGGGGGTGATGCTCGTTTTTCAAGAGCAAAAGATCCTGTGAACTCGCATTTGGGTGGGCGGTTTGGGACGAGTTCAGTGTGTGGAAAAGTCCAGGCCTCTCACAATGGGATGCTCCCGAATCACATCGGATGGCAGCATGTAACTCAGAAAGAACAATCTTCTAAGATAGCTATTACTTCAAGCACATCGGCTGGCCTAGAGCAGATCCTGCCCTGGCTATACTATCATCGGGTTGTGGGTGTCACACACTTCTTTCTTTTTGTTGAGGGACAGGCTGCGTCTTTGAATTCGACATCGACTTTGGAAGCTATTCCTGTATGTTTCTTGCCCTAATTTCCTTTCTTTGGGCTGCATTTCTACTATTCCGCAGTAAATGTCATCAAGCACAGTATTTGATTTCGCTTCTTATATTCTTTTTGATTTTATTAGACTCACTTTGGTGTGAATAGCAGTCTGAAGCACTTTTATTTTGGTTATAGGGGGTGAAGATCATTCATCATACTGAAGAGCTACAAAACCAGCAGGCTAAAAGGTTCATGATAGACTATTTTTCATATCATAAAATATTGTTGTTACTGTCCTACGACGTATGAGATTACCATGATTTCGTCCAATTTGTCTTCTAGAGTAGTTTTGGTTTTGGTTCGTGTATTTTTGGCTGTGGTTAATGAAGTTATCATCGATTGATGAGTTTTCCAACGGGCGAATGCGAATTTATCTTGTTTATCCTTCGCAGCCGTATATGGAACGAGACTTGGCTATCTGGCTTTTTCTGGAAACCGTGCAACTATGAGCTTTTTGTCAAACAGTCTCTCAACATGGAAACGGCTATTGTATTTGCAAGGGTAACTTAACAACTCCGAAATTTCATGTTGATCTGATCAAATCTCAATATCTCAATTTGATCACCTTGTATGTGCACCATCGATCAGCTAGCTATGAAGAGGGCATCCGCGATTTCGTTGACTTATTTTACTGGGTGTTGGTACGTTGAACAGGAGATTGGCATCGATTGGATAATTCATCTTGACACTGATGAATTGTTGCATCCAGCTGGAGCCCCGGAATACTCCGTGCAGCGGTTGCTTCACAGTATTGCTGCCGACGTTGATATGGTGGTTTTCCCCAACTATGTGAGTCCTATTCCCACAGCATCGTATTACTCATCTGTAGCACTCAGTGGCCTTGTTTCTAGTAAGTCTACTTGGGGTGCAAGTTCTCATTGGTCTTTTACGAACTTTATCTACGTATAATACTACAATGTGCTGGTTGTTGTAGGAGAGCGCAATTGAGCGAGATGATCTTGAGGACCCCTTCCGTGAGGTAACCATGTTTAAGAGAAACTATGATCACGTATCTAAAGAGACTTACTTTGCCCTATACAAAGAAGCTACTCGGGGCAATCCCAACTACTTCTTGACCTACGGGAACGGTAAAGCTGCGGCCCGCATAAAAGACCATTTGCGACCTAATGGTGCTCATAGGTGGCACAATTACGCTAAAGCGCCAAAGTGAGTTCGTCGCTTATTGGTGTGCTGTTTCAGATCTAATCCCATGATGTTCATTCTGGTAGTTGAGAGGTCTGGTCGTGTGTCTATTTCATAGTATTTTGTTTGTTAGATGACTGAGAGTATCATAGAAGATTACTGAAGAAATTTAGAATGAAATGCATGGGTTACTGCGCTTGTGAAAAGTGGATTTGCTTATGAGAAACCGTTCTTGGTATGACATCTGAACAGTGAAATCAAGCTTGATGAGGCTGCAGTATTACATTATACATACGCAAAGTTTTCAGATTTGACATCGCGACGCGATCGATGTCACTGCAAACCAACCAGGGAGGATGTGAAGCGGTGCTTCATGCTCGACTTTGATCGGGAGGTAAGCCAATGACTCTGATTGTGCTTCAGGGGCGCTATTGATTTGTGCCTTCTGATAATGTCTGATGGACATGTATATTACTTTTGAATTTGGAATCAACTGATTTTCTCCTATTTTCCTTTGACGTCCATCCTTCGAGAGTAATTTTTAAAGTAAAATTTTCATATTTAGCATGATGTATCAACTTCTAAGAAAATAATTAAAATCGCATTTGTCGTGTCAGGCTTTCATTATTGCTTCTACAGCTTCAGAAGAGGAGATGAAGCGCTGGTATGGTTTCTGGACACTCCACCTCATAGTCACGGTAGTTTCTAAATTCAGGCCATTCTTTTACCGTAGGATTAAAATTAGTGGCCCAAACCTTCTATCCTCTGAACAGTTGTGTGTTGTGAATGCATGTCGGATCTGTGGCTGCCATAAAGCCTCTTTCTGAGCGGTTATTGTTGTCAGGACTCTGTCCGATATTGATTCTATCTACTCTTCTGACAGGCTGGAAAGAATAGAGTTGCTAAGACTGTATTCTATTTGCAGGTATAGGGAACACGTGGTATGGGCTGACAAGGAACTGAACCTAAAACTGATGCGCAAAGGGCTATTGACACGGCTGTATGTTCCTCAGGTGAGAGTCGAAGTGATAAGTTTTCTCTGTAACGTCTTCGCCTCTTTCATCGTACAATTAAGTGTAATAGAATTTCAGAATCTTAAGATCTACACATTCAGTACTGCACGTTTCAGGGACATATGCAGCCAGCTTGTATCGATTAGTTTGCAGCTCAAGCTTTGGACTTAACTAGTTAGCTACATCACTCATTTTAACATGTATATCTTGTTTGGTGATTATTTTGCATGACCACGAAATGCATACCTACATGAAAGTGGTGATAGGACTTCGTTACTAATATAAAGTGCTTTCGCATATCAAATTTTGCAGGCGATTATGCAAGGTTTACAAGTTGCAGGGGTGTTCAGGAACGCGGTGCAAGTAGGCCAGGACCGTCTTGCGAAGTCTCTAAAACAGGAACACAGTGTCTTCAGATCTTCCAGCTCTGCAAAGTTTCTAAATGGCAGCACCAGTGAAGGCAGGCTGGTTTCAGAAGCAATTCCAAATGAGTTTTTGAGCATAAATGAAGCCAGCACAACGGCTGCAATGCCCCCTCTCTCACCTCCAAGGTTGCATCACTTGGGCTCAAATTTTTCAAGTAGTTTTGAGGGCAGTCAATGACGCTCTTACAAGTAAAAAAATCGGACATTTTGTTGTTTTTGGGCTCCCCAAAAAACTGGGTGAGGTTTAGTTTGCAAAGTTACGTGTGAGAATTATGTGATTCGCAGTCTGGATGCATGAGCAGGTTCCTGAATCTGCCATGAACAGAGTTTGAGGCTCAAGCAGCTCCATGAATACATTATGGTCCTCCTCTTTGCTCTAGAGTATCCAAATATATTGTTCACTGCTTTCTAAATTCTTGCTAAGCTCTAGTCTAGGTTTTGGTTAGCCGGAGGTTTGTTGGGTTTTATTTCCAACATCAGATGCTATTTAATTTGATCCTGATATTTGATTAGAACATTTTAATTTTTTTAGGGTAGCACCATCCGATTTTCAACAAGGTGAAAATTATTGTATTATCTATGTGCATGTCCCTGCCGTTTGGAATATTTTATTCATTTTGTATCCATTTTTTAGCAATTATGAAATGATAACAATAGTTAGAATTTAATTATATTAAGGACAATGTGATGGATACCTAAATCAAATATTCATTGAATTTAACACTGATTTTGGTTTCTTCCAAGATTTAAAAAAGGAAAAAAAAAGAAAATGACTATGTTACTCAAATAATGTGTGTTGTACTTTCAGTAAATGTTTTTAGATTATTTTACTTTTTTACATAAGAGTTGATAATGGTGTTTTTATAGAATATTATTACAATTTTTTTTTCAACTCATAGAATTTAATTTAAATTAATTTAAATATATGCATAATTAAAAATATCTTTTGATAATATTAAAATAATAAATAAATAAATAAACAAAATAGTGGTAGCTAAAGAAGATTAATTTGTAGATTAATTTTGGTAAATTTCTTACTTTATGCTCCAGTGGTCTGAGTGTTTTAATACCATATTAATCATGTTTTAATGACTATAAATACTTAACAGTATAATATTTAACAGTATGAAATTTGTATGTAATTAGTAGAAACATGTGCCATTAACTGCAAGAGAAGTGTAAAAGTTTAACTTGTGGTTGCTAAGTCAAAAATTGACCACTCTTTAAGAAATGTTGATTAAGATAATATATATATATATATATATATATATGTATATATGCAAAACAATGAAACTATTTATGTTCTTTCATTGTAATAGAAAATAGAATTTTTATTTATTACAATAATAAAAATAGCTAAGTTAAAAGAACTTTGAATAAAACCACATTTATGGTAGTTTTTTTTTATCTTCATTATTTTTAAGATATAGAATCTTAATCATATTTGGAGAAGTGTATTATAAAAGTGCAACATATAATTATTTGTATGCAAATATGGAGATTTGAAGATATAATCTTATATTCTTCAATGTTGTTCTTAAGTTTTGTTAATGGTCAATGTGATTCCCACCTTTATTAGAGACTGTCTTTGTTGCAACTTGAACAAAATCTCTGTAGATGATAGACATAATATGATCTTTGGAGGAAAAGCCAATTATTCCTTGTGGTCTATGGATAAAAGTCTTGCCTCAATAACTTCATCAATGAGCAACATAATGACCATGTATGATCTATTGTAAAGTCCTTGATGATTCAAAATCATTGTATCATACAAAATAGTTTTCATAAGTAAGAATCTTGTATAATGCATAACTTCATGAACTTTTCACCAAATAATCATTTTTTATTAGATACATCTTTTAAATGCATATTATTGGTCAACTTGCATACTTTAATATAAGACCAAATATTTGATTGTTGCAACGAAGCAACAACAATCTCTTCTCTTGAGATTTTAACAACAACAGAAAAAATTTGCCAAAAATCTCTACCAAAGACTATAATAATTCTCCCAAATAATTTCTTAGTACCATATATGTCTTCAAACATTTTATCAATTGCCTTAGCACAATGGTGATGTTGCATTGCTACCTCATCTAAGATGATAAGAATTTCTTTTTATAATATATTTGTATTGTCTTATTATGTATATTCTTACTTGAGAATGCATTGGGTACTTAGTTGTGGAAGGTATGTAGAAATACAATAACAATCCTACTAAGTATATTCAAGTCTTAAATAAATTTTAAGTAATCTTTAATAATTCTAATCAAAATTTAACAAATCCAAAGTAAATTTAAAAGAATTTACAAAAAAAAACACAAAGAAATTATAAATTAATATCAAAGAAAAATAACAAAGAAATCCTAAAGAAATATAAAAATAAACCTTAAAGAAATAACAATAACCTTTAAAAAATATCAAAATTAGAAATCCTAAATAAATCGTAAATAAAACTTGATTCAACTTTAATTTAATCCTAATTAAAATCCTAATGAATCTTAATCAAATTCTGGATCAAATCTTAATTAAATCATAATAAAATCCTAAATTCCAACTAAATCTTAATCAAATCCTAAATCCTAGATCAATTCTAATGAAATCTTAGAAAATCTTAAATCCTAACCAAATCTTAAATCAAATCATAAGAAAATCCCAACCAAATCCTATATCTTAAAGAAACTCTTAACAAATCTTATAGCACATTGAAAATTCAATAACTAAAGATGGAATTGTTCATTTTGACTCAAAATTTATAAAATTTTCAACAACTAAGTTATTAACAAGCACAAAATATTTGAAGAAAATCGCACATATCAAATAGATGATAATTCCTAAATTCTACTCAAATATGGACGAGCTTCCTTCTCTAACCTTAATGTTGATATTTCTGAGCCATGATCTCTTATTTTCACTCTTCTATTAGTCTCAAACTTTTTATAATTTTTAGAAGCCAAACTAGCTAACTTTGAGAAAAGATTTATTTCAATCCATTTGACAGATTGATAGATATCTTGAAATCCTTATTGGTCCTTTGAATTCCAATTTTTGGGGCCATAATCCACAAAAATTCTCATATACTTTAATCTACCTACTTAATTGACTTCAAATTTCTCATACACATTTACAACAAGTATAACAACAAATTGCCAAATTTTTATTTATATACATGCCAAATTTTTATTTATATTCATGCCAAATTTACAAAATCCTCAAATTTGTAAACTTATATTTATTTCTTAAAATCTAAGCCCACTTTAAAAATCCTTCAAAATATTAATATTAATCCAAATGACATGAAACCAACTCTCAAAAATATTTTTTTAATTTCGCTCTCAAATCTTGCTCTTTGATTGGCAAAAGAACCTTGAAGTCATCATAGGTGCATGGCTTTGTGCTTTAAGGTCTGATTTTGATCCTAGTTGGCAACCAATCTTCTTTAGATATCAAATCTTATTTTTTTATTTTATATATATATATATATATATATATATATAATTTTTTTAAACCTATTATTAATTCTTTTCTAAAAATACCTATATTATTTATTTACCTCATTAATTTCAATTTGAGGCTTTTATGCCTGTACAAAATAAATAAAAGTTTTTTTTTTTTTTATAAATGTCATTATTAATACTAAATTTTTTACTATCTTTCTATCAATTATTCTTATTTTTCTACTACATTTCTCTATTAGACTCTTCTACAATAACAGCCATATTTTTATTTTTTATCATACAGTCATATTACCATATGATAGAATATAGTGTGTTCTTTGTAATATTGCAAAATAAATCCTCATCAAGTTTGAGAAAAATTTTAAACATAAAGTATGTACTTAGTTTACTACTTGAAAGTTGTGAAACAATTCCAAAAGAAACAACATACACAATAATTTTTTTATTACTTTGGAACTTCAATGCTCTTATATTATAAACAAATGTCTTTCCACTTTTAGTTGGTTCTTCCAAAAAATAAAGGTTTTTAAGATTATTATTGAATGAAACAAGAATATCCAAATATATGGTATGTTGTTTATTATTCAACTTTGGCACATATTCTTCTATTGTTTATTTTATCTTGTAATAATTTCATGTCATATATTCCATAAACATTCAATTTATAGTATTTTCATTCCAATTAAATTTCTACAATAATATTAATAGAAAATCAATAAGTATCTTTTATATTCTTAAATAATTTTATCAAAAAGAAATAATCTATAACCTAATATCTTCCTTTCTATTGGCATGTCAATTTTATAATTTTGAATCAATAAATAAGGCACATCATCAAAAAAAAAATCTTTAAATTTATATATAGCTCCTTCAAATGCTCATATGAATATTAAAGAAAAATAATAGAGAGTAATATTCTTAACTACTTTTCAATTTTTTATTCCATTCTTTGTCATCCTCAAATAATCTTATTTTTAAGCATGCACTTTTAAAATTTGGTTGAAGTAATACATTTATAAATCACAAATTTTTAATAGAATATGGCCTATGTACTTTTATTATGAGAAGTTAAAGATAAAATCTTTCTCTCATAGTAAGATCAATGAAATACAACCTTCTAATTGTAAATTCATATTATCTTATTTTCTACTTCTTTGAAATCTTATTTTGTATAAATTTTTTTCAAAATTCTTGCTACTTGTATTTCTAAACAATTTCCATAGATTTATACATTTCAAAAAATATCATCAAAATTATTTTTTGCTGCTCTCCACAAGGTCAGGCTTCAAGAGTATCATCATTTGGATCAAAAATTACTAAGTGTATTTTCAGAAGATGCAATGACAATTGAATCACATTTGAAACTTCTTTATAATTTTTTTATTCTAAACAAGTATTATTCTACCTCTAAAACTACAATATATTGTACATCAATATATTACTTGATCATATCCCCTTTATTTCTAATTTACATTGTTGTATATTCATGCCTTTTATAGATATACTTATAAATATATTTTACAGAAAAAACTAAAAGAAAAGCCTATTACAAACAAAAATTTATTCTAAAAATTATCTAGGTAATATGATTAGATATAAGTAGATTAAAATAGATTAATTTCATAATATCTTTTAAAAAACCTTCTTAAAAGCTTTATAGACATGGTATTGTGATGTAACATGATTAAGAAATGAAAAAAAGAAGAAAAAATTATATTATAGATTTTATTTTAAAACATTGTAAAAAATTATCTTAAAAATATAGATAATAGTAAAAAAAATAGTAAAATTAAAAAATGCTAATGCTATCTTTTTGCAAAATGGACTTCTACTTACTTTGAAGGGCCATAAATAAAGAAAAACAAAGTAGATTGGAAAATTAAATGATATAGACATGTATAAGAAGAAATTAAGAGTAGATTTTAGCAAAACTTACCTCAAGAAGCTAAGAATTGATACCTGAAGAGGACCAGCTATCAACTTTGGTCAAAAGCAGACCCCAAGGCACAAAACCAAACACCTACAAACATTTGGAATTTTTTTGTACATTGGAGAGTGGAATTTGAAGATTGACTTGAAGAAAGATTTTTAAGCATTGATTTCGTGTCATATAAATCA